TCAGGAGCAGATGAACAACCTCCGAGAACTTTTTTTAGTTTAGAAGAAATCACAAAAATACTGACCGTTTTCAAACAGGTTTCCTGAACACTTTCACAGTCTGCCATTAGTCGCCGCACATCTTTGTGCAACCTTCACAGCAGCTATAGGGTAAATAAATATGAGAGGAAGACCAATCACAATTCAGTATGCAAACCATTATAATTACATCATATTTTACATTTTAAATATGATGAAGCATAATTATTTAAATTTTGAATGCAGAACACTGTATCAGTATCAAAGGGAGATTTTAAAATATTAGTCTTTAATTTCTTTAAAAAATACAAAAACAAAAATAGATTGCAAGATCAATATATATATATATATATATATATATATATATATATATATGTGTGTGTGTGTGTGCTTATAAATTCATAATCCACACTATTGCTGGAAAAATAATGATTTTGAACCCATTCTAATGGATGCATCCATCAGTTATGAAAGTTTTAATAAATCATCATACCTAACATTATTTTGGTTACATATTTAAACAGCGTTGTCTATATATAGCTTCATTTGTAAGACATAAAAACACATACATAATCACAATTTGCTTTCCAATAATTATATAAGTCCATTAATGTTCAAAATGTTGGGGTCGGTAATATTTTTTACAAATATTTTGCTCATCAAGGCAACCAAAAATACAGTAAAAACAGCAGCAATATTTTGAAATATTATGACAATTTAAAATGACTTTTTCTATTTTATTATATTTTAAAATGTAATTTATTCCTGTGATCAAAGCTGAATTTTCAGCATCATAACAAATAAATATGTTTTTCCCCCATTAAACTGTTATTTTGATGCTTATAAATTCATAATCCACACTATTGCTGGAAAAATAATGATTTTGAACCCATTCTAACGGATGCATCCATCAGTTATGAAAGTTTTAATAAATCATCATACCTAACATTATTTTGGTTACATATTTAAATCAGCGTTGTCTATATATAGCTTCATTTGTAAGACATAAAAACACATACATAATCACAATTTGCTTTCCAATAATTATATAAGTCCATTAATGTTCAAAATGTTGGGGTCGGTAATATTTTTTACAAATATTTTGCTCATCAAGGCAACCAAAAATACAGTAAAAACAGCAGCAATATTTTGAAATATTATGACAATTTAAAATGACTTTTTCTATTTTATTATATTTTAAAATGTAATTTATTCCTGTGATCGGAAAGCTAAATACATCACAAGAATAAATTACATTTTACACTATATTCAAATACAAACCAGTTATTTTAACATTGTAATAATATTTCACAATTTTTCTGTTTTACTGTATTTTTTGATTAAATAAATGCAGCTTTGATGAGCAGAAGAGACATAACAAAAACAACAACAACAAAAACCTTACCAACCCCAAACTTTGTTAAAAATATTAATACAGAATTATACAGTTAATAAATGTTTATATCATTTTTTGTGCTTTTCTCTATATGACCTTTAAAACTTTTGAGGGCACTAGAAAATGATGTCTGTGTGATTTTGTGCACATGGAATCATGTTGTGCATTTTCTGATTTGACTTCAAGTGGCCCCACATGTCCAGAATTTAAACCTGCTTCAGTCCCTACCATTGATTACAGCATTTAATGAATGACTTTGAAGAGCCAGTCGTTGATGGTCGTGTAATCAGCTACTTTTCCTTATATTACAATGACAAATGGCATAGTTTTGGGCCTCTCCCTTCCCAAAATCCACCGCGTCTCTATTCTTCCACCTTAAATCAGATAAGGTGTAGCACAGAACAAATCCTTCAAATTATTCATGCTCAAGGGCCAATTAGAGAACCAGAGAGAGAATGATTAGGAGAACACGGCAGCTGTTCGCTTTCAGTTGATTCAAAGACGACCAAACATGTCCTTCTGAGTAAATCTGCTTTAAGAATTGACCATTTCAATGCATTAGGTGCAGAGGCTATTGAGGTGTTCTGCACGTTTCTTTATAAAGTACGTTTCCATTCGCTCAGTGGAACTCTTTAACATTAGCACATTTCAGTATTTTAGATGAGTTATAGTGCTCGCTAATGCAAATGCTTTTTTCCTGTTCGTTGTGCTGCTGGTATCTTTTTTAGCCCAATAAGTGCTCAGTGAAACATACTGTCGCTCTGGCTCTGATTAAACTATTGTCATGCAGGGGAACCCTTCCATGTGTAGGACATCAGCAGTGCTTTTAGGGAAACTGCAATTACTGTTAGCTGAGCTTAGCTTTTAGCTGTTAACTCTCTGGTTAAAGGACAAACACACACCTGAAACACAACACACCACCACTTTGTTGCATCGACAAGCAGAGGCTTATGAGATTAGCCAGTGTTCAACAATAAGGTTCGCTTGAGCTGGTGCTTGAAATGACCACAGAAATTATAAGCATCTCTTTTAGTAACAAATAAATATGTTTTTCCCCCATTAAACTGTTATTTTGATGCTTATAAATTCATAATCCACACTATTGCTGGAAAAATAATGATTTTGAACCCATTCTAATGGATGCATCCATCAGTTATGAAAGTTTTAATAAATCATCATACCTAACATTATTTTGGTTACATATTTAAATCAGCGTTGTCTATATATAGCTTCATTTGTAAGACATAAAAACACATACATAATCACAATTTGCTTTCCAATAATTATATAAGTCCATTAATGTTCAAAATGTTGGGGTCGGTAATATTTTTTACAAATATTTTGCTCATCAAGGCAACCAAAAATACAGTAAAAACAGCAGCAATATTTTGAAATATTATGACAATTTAAAATGACTTTTTCTATTTTATTATATTTTAAAATGTAATTTATTCCTGTGATCAAAGCTGAATTTTCAGCATCATTACTCCAGTCTTCAGTGTCACATGATCCTTCAGAAATCATTCTAATATGCTGATTTACTGTTCAAGAAACATTTCTTATCATCAATGTTGAAAACAGTTGTTCTTGCCTAATATTTTTGTGGAAACCATGGGGTTTTTTTTCTTTGGTGAATATAAAGTTCAAAAGATCAGCATTTATTTGAGATAGAAATCTTTTGCAACATTATAAAAGTCTTTACTGCTACTTTTGATCAAATAAAAGTATGTATTATTCAAAATCCTGTTTGCTTTAATTAAATTGTATTCACATGTACATGTCTAGGCATTAGTATCAGCATTGGCCACTGAAAAACTCCACCGCTGAGCATTTTTAGGGGTTAAATAACACTAAAGATCTTGTTTTCTCCTTTCTTCTTGTCAGGCTCCTTTTGCCCTGTACCACACTAACAGAAAACTCACCATGGAGCCGAAGGTCACCATCAATGCCAGAATCGTGGTAGTGGGAGCATCTGACATGGGTTTAGCTTTTCTTGAAGCACTGACATTCTGGTAAGCATGCCATTTTTAGAAACGCTACTTCAATCAAACAGTCAGCACTGATAATTAAGCCCTAAAAAGCATTTATGATTTCTTTTTGAAGAAGCAGCAAGATATTTGTGTCTAAAACAGGTTTTTTTTTTTTTGTCTTGGGGTGGAGGGGCATCATCTCAAGCGTGATTATAATTACTGAGAGTGACCCTCAGGGATCTGAGCGAAACAATGATTGCATGAAATCTGAGCTCACGGCTTTATATAATAACACTCAGCCCAGCACACGCCAATTAATACCTGCATTCTGGATCCTTTTGCCTCAGGACAGAGATCTCTTTGTGTTTTAAGCCACTGAATTTGAAAAACAGATTCTTCAAATAAAATATTTGATTGCCTTTATTAAAATATTTTTAAGCAGTGATTCCCAACCAGGCATTGGTTCCAAAGAGTACTTTTTCAAATTAAAAATCAGGGCCACATTCTGGTGAGAAAAACTTTTATATTGTAGAAAATGCAGATGATATTGAACCAAGACTATTTCACTTAATAAGGACTGTAAATGACATTTCCTTTCCAGATTTCATTTACAAACAAATGTATTAGGTCAAAAATGCGAGATTCACCATCACTGAAAGGTTTGTGGTCAGTAAGACTTTCGAAATAAGTCTCTTATGCTCAGCAACGCTGCATTTGTTTGATCAAAAATACAGTAAAATTTAAAATATTGTAGAACAATTATTACGATTTCAAATTGTAATCAAAAATGTAATTTATTTCTGTGATCAAAGCTGAATTTTCAGCATCATTACTCCAGTCAGTGTCACATGATCCTTCAGAAATCACTCTAATATGCTGATTTGCTGCTCAAGAAACATTTCTGATTATTATCAATGTTGCTTCATTTTTTTTTCAGGATTCAAGCAATTTTTTTTTTTTTTAATGTAATATAATACTTTCTTTACTGTCATTTTTATCAATTTAATGCATCCTTGCTGAATAAAAGTATTAATTTCTTTCCTACAGAAAACTTTTAAACAATAGTGTACATAAAAAGGTTGGGAAACTATGTTTTTAGACAATGACTTGTCTAAAAACCATACATTAGGTCTTTAGTCTCTGAAGGATTTCACTTTTCAGGATGTCATTTCTTGAGCGGATATCAGGAGATGTCAGGGGTTTGGATGCAGCTTCTCGCAAAGCGTTTGACCAAACAAAGCTGCGATTTAAGGCCGTTCTTGTTTCCTGAAAGCTGATAACTGCCTGGCAACCAGGGGTAGCTCTGCGGTTGTGTGTGTGTGTGTGTGTGTGTGTGTTAACTCCTGCTGCTTTGGCAGGCACCGCGGGCACGCAGCTGTCTAGAGCTGGCAGTGTGTGGAGGTCACGCGCTGGCCCTTTAATTAGCCCTGCCACTGTTCTCTAGGCCGCAATTGGTGTTTGCTGTCGCTAATGACTTGACTAATGAGGCAGTTAGTGTCCACTAAACTTATGGCCGGTCAGCCCCTGTAGAGGCCGCCTGTCTAATGGAGAAGGTGGAGGCCATGGCCGACAGCGCTTATCTGTCAAGCCAAAACCATTGGCCTCCTCACGCTCGCTCTCTTGTCCTTTATCACCCCTGAGGATGGGGTGAAACGCAGGACCATAGAGGACCGATAAAGATGCTTGGCCCCTAAACTTAGCAGTCAGACACTGGCCACAATAGAGGCCTGTCAGCTGCTGATAAGGCCAGAATGCTGTGAGCTAGTGGTCAAGAACAGCCTGCGGAGAGAAAACACACACACACACACACACACACACAAGATTAACATTTCACACTGACACAGATTCCAGATTTTTTTCTTATATAAAAGATTGACAAATAATTCTGTTCTTTAATTAATTCTATAAATTCTTACTGAAACAACAATGAAAATATCCACTGCCATCTAGTAAATACTCTAATAATCACATTTGCTCAATTTTACACAAATAATAGTTAATAACAATAAAAAATTAAAAAATGTAAGAAAAAATTATATATTTTCAAACAAATGTTATTCTTTAAATCATGTTTATCAATAACTACAACATGTGGTCTCAAACAGGGTAAACATTAATTAAACAATAATGTAATTCAATTTATTTTTTTATTTTTTTATTTTTTATTTATTTGGTGTACTCGGGCATGTCCCCAATTTTGTTTAAATATTTTAATGTACACATTTTTAAATGTTAATGTTATTTTAGCAATAAACATTAATTAAACAATATATTTCTAACATAAAATCTCACTAATAAATTTGTTTTTAATTTAATTTATTTTTAAATGTTTTTAGATTTAAATTGTATTTCATTTTAATGTTATTTTAGCAATAAACATTAATTAAACATTACATTTAATTCATTAATGTTTATGGCTAAAATAAAAAAAAATCACACAAATCGATTTATTTTTCATTAAATTTACTTTTAATGTATTTAGACGTCCCAAATTGTGTTAACAGGGTTATTATAATTCAAATATATATAAATTTTATGGGAGAATGTACGGAGCCCCGCACATGGCATGCAGGAAAAAAATAGTAGGCTAAATCGTGTGCACGATTTACTATTTCATTCCCTCGATTTATAAATTGTGCGCACTATTTACTAATTAATTCCCTCGATTTATAAATTGTGTGCACGATTTACTAATTAATTCCCTCGATTTATAAATTGTGCACACGATTTACTAATTCGTTCCCTCGATTTGCGAAATCGTGCACACGATTTATAAATCGAGAGAACAAATTAGTCAATTGTGTGCACGATTTAGCAAATCGAGGGAACGAAATGGTAATCTTGTGCACGTTTTAGTACATCGAGGGAATGAATTAGTAAATTGGACGCACAATTTATTTATTTTTTCTTGCATGTCATATGCGGGGCTCCGTAAAAATTAAATGGATAATATAATATTTAATAAATTTTATGGACTCTTCGTTAAAAATAATTTGACTGCTCAGGAGCTGTTAAAAATGGCAATCTCTCTTATAATTTTGCATGTGAACATTAGTGCAAATCAAACATGTGCAGGAAGGAGTTAAATGAAAAAACAGGCTAAAATAAAAGACAGATAGCTGAAGATGACAGTCACAGCTCTGTCTGTCTGCATCGCTTAGAGCGCTAGAACGCAGAGCTGCGGCTGTGTGTCCAGCGTCCTCCGTCTGATCAATCATGACGGTCCGCAGGCCTCACACGCTCCTCTTTCAACACACGCTAGCCTGATTTCCTCTCCCGCCACAGATAGAGATCATGTCTTTCCAGCACATTTACATGACAAGAGACCTTTTTACACTCCTGAGGGGACGGGGGGAGACCACTACACACAGGAAACAAAACAAGAGGGGAAAAAAGACAAAACAAAAGGAAAGGCTTTTACTGTGATGGTTGGAGAAGAAAGCGCTTTAAAGCAGGCCAGTGCTGTGCTGGAAATTAAGGGATTTCAGCATCTGTCCGTCGAGTGTTTGCAGAATAACCTCACACACCCCGCATGCTTTTGTTCAGGCGTCGCTACTGTCCTCTCTTCATTCAATGGTATTCATTTCTGGACTGAAAAAAAGGAACAAAAAATTGGACAAAAATAGCCTCATTATCCAAAATGGACAAGATCTGTCCTACACAGAGTCCGTTCTTCAGAAAAGCTTTTCTGTACCTCAATTCAGAGACATGTTCGATCAACAGTATGAACATCAGCGAATCTTTGTATAATGTCAAGATGCATAAACTTGATTGGAAAAAAAAGGGTCAATGGCATTATTTGACTCTGACTCATCTACTTTTCTCTTTCCCGCCAGTCCTCATCTCAAATTCAACAATCTCACTCTCATCTCCACTCACGGCCTTCCAGATCACTGCTCTGATGACAACATGAGATTTCTGGCTACAAGGTGAAAGATGCATTACAAACGAGAGGCATTCAGACTCCAACGCAGCATATTTCCACTCCATGAAAGAGGGAAAATCCGCTTTATTTCCATTCTATCATACAGATGTGAAGTGCTAAAGCACTGAAGCTTTCCTGGTCTCTCAGTGGACTTCAGACTCGAAGGCTTGACTGTTGCAATCCAAAAAGTCGATTCATTATAAACATTATTAATGATTTCTTAGTAGTCAAGTTTACTAGTAAAAGAACAAAAAAGGTGCCACAAAAGCTTGTCAATGCACTGAATTTTTTTAGTCAAAATGGCACAACATTATGCCGTTACTCACTGATGATCTTCGCCTCCTTTGGAACTCAAATCTCATTCACACTTCTGTCAAATTCACTGTGCTTAAGGTTTGGTGTTGTTGACGGATCAAAATGCTGAAAGCTTGAAAAATATGACTGTAAATGAGATTTGAGGGTTATAATTTTGGACTGCTTTTATTCTGTGCAAACACAATTTTTTAACTTATTCTTTTTTCAATAATAATAATTTTATATTCTATTAAAGATTTCTAACCTATTATTTTTTACTTCTATGACAAATGTCTACAAAAAAAAATAAAACATGGTACATTTTCTTGAGAAGAAAACTTGCCTAATTTTTTCTGAAAACAGAACTGTGTTTGTTTTAAGCATCAACTCACTTCATTTTGATAAGATGTTAAGTCTTATTTTCTGGGGGAAAAAAACTAAATTGAGTTTATACTATAAACTGACAGATTTCTTGTTTTAAACATTAACTCACTTAATTCTGATAATTTGAGAAAATCAAGACCTAATATCTCAAGTCATTTGCTTCTCAAGTAAATGTATCTTTATTTAGAAGGTTTAGATATTTGTACTGGAAAACAAAAAAAAATTATGAGTAAGAAAATTTTTTTTGCAGTGTAGTGGGTTTCTTCATTTTTGGAAGTATAAAGCAAGAGAATCAAAAGCTCTTTTGAACATCTTAGAACAACAATAATGGGATGGAATTAATAAATCAAGATTAAATTTTGGTTTCTCAAGAGATTCTGACCTCTTACCTCATATTTCAGTGTTTTGAGAGCGGCAGCTTTAGAGCGGCTTCAACGAAAGCATTACTTCCTGGCACTCGTGATGAAAAGCAGGAACGTCTGTTTTATCATGTCTGTTAGTGGTTCTGCATGACTGGCACATCTAATCCAATCCACCGATCCAAACGACTGATGCGACACATCGTATCAGAGCTTCCACACGAAATCTTGATTCTGAGCATCTTCTGTGAATGAGTCAGTTAACCTTGAGCATTGAGAATCTAAACCCACTTACAGTGAAAGACACCAATGTCCTTCTGGCTGCTCTTTTCATAGCTGTGTAAATCTGAAGCAGGATCTGTTCCTCCACAGTCACTGCTACAGCGATCAGGATCAAGCCCGGCTGTCTCTGCGCTCCTGGATCAGCGTGGTGACGGGTAAGATGAAGGCCATCGACCGCGAGGCCAAACACGTGGAGCTGATGGAGAATGGTAAAGTGAAGTATGACTATCTGATCCTCTGCACCGGCCTGCAGTATCAGGTCAGAGACACACAAACACAACATCAACACAATTTACTGAACCAAGATGTCACTGTGAATTATGAGACGTGTATTCTGTGCCAGCGCAGATCATTATTTGCAAATTAATGCAATGCTAATACGGTTTTCATGCAGAGCACAATAATTAGTACATGAGAATTCAGCTTGTGTGGCTGCTGCTGTATTTGGCAGAGTCTGACAAAACATTTAATGGTAGGACATTGCTGATACTGTGTATATAGAAGCTGGACATAAATATAATAAATTATTTATATTTAAATAAATTTAAATACATTTTCTATCATTTGAATAATTTACATGTAAATGCAATTACATTATGTAGAATATTTATGTTTATATATATATACACTGAACAAAATTATAAACGCAACACTTTTGTTTTGCCCCCATTTTTCATGAGCTGAACTTCAAAGATCTAAGACTTTTGTGTATATATACTGTATATATATTTGTGACACTGGACCACAAAACCAGTCATAAGGTTCAATTTTTTTTAAATTGAGAATAATACATGAATATATGAGCTATATATAGCTGAATAAATAAGCTTTTGATTGATGTATGGTTTGTTAGGATAGGACAATATTTGGCCGAGATACAATCTTGAAAAAAAAATACCTTCCATTCCTTCCATTTTTACATTCATAATAAAAAAGTAAAAAAAAAAAAAAAATCCTAAAACAAAAAATTGTGTGGTGTGTGTATATCAAGGGTTAACCGAAACTAAAATTAAAACCACAAAAAAAACAACATTTTTGTTACTTTAAATAAAAGTAAAATAAACATTAACTGAAATAAAATATTAAAAACTTTATTTCTGCTTTTATGTTGTACGAAAATAACTAAAACTGAACTAAAAATTAATAAAAAATATATATAGACATATTTTTAAAAAAATGGAAACAAAATGACAAAAACTTTAAACTTCAAATGAAAGCCTAAAATATAAAAATTAAAACTGATTCAAAATATTACAAGAACTACTTCAATAACACTGATAACTATATATACAAAATGTACACACACACACAAATATATTTACCAGCTTCTACAAAGTATCTACAATTTGTGATGACAAATTATAAAAGTTAATTAATATTAAGATTAAACAGTTTGGTTGGAGAATATATATAAAATTATATGAGTTATTCATTTAGATTAATATATATAGAGACAGCAGGA